GAATCCGAAGGTCTTTGCCCTGGTGGTTATATATATAAAGAAGAAAGTTTGCCTGCCTGTCTGTTCCTTTATGCATTCGGACCCCGCTGGAGCCAGTGCAACCAAACTTTGCATGGCCTCCTCTTTCATTCAGGGGAAGGTAGAGGACTATGTTTCGATCCAAAATTTTCACTCCCGGGGTATTTTTCCGGGGGGCTGTAGTGTCTCAGATGGCATTGAGAGAAATGACTCACTCCTGGATTCAGTGGTACAGTGGCAGCATACCTGACCGACGATCAGGAGGCCCGGGTTCGATTCTCGGCCGTCCCCAACTTTTTTTTGTCCTCTCATGTTCTCTCATTGCCATACAACTCTCCCCTCCTGGCCACCTGCATTACAGTACCCCGGGGTAATCCCATTTCTGGATCACTATAGTAGGTAGTAAGTAATATTCTTTTCATCAAGTTTTCATCGAAAATGTGTTTCAAAACAATAAAAGCATTTTACCAATAAGTTTTTTCCCTTAAAAATAATTTAGAAATTCAAAGCGTGCAAAAACAAATTTAAAAAGAAAAAGGAGTTCGAGCGCATTTTGCGACACCCAAGATCTGTAACTTATAGGAGACCATAAGGCTAACGTCCCCCAATTTGTCATGCATGAAATATTGAATTTCCCTGGGCAACGCCGGGTACTTCAGTAGTACATTATATGATAAATATTCAAATGTAAATTATGACATTATTAATATTTGTAATAAATTAGGGCTTGCACCGAAGTATTGACAACCACAGAGATTGGCCTCTGGTGTTGCACCATTGACGCCATGGCTACAGTAAGGTTGGAAGCTGTCTATGCCGAAGCCTGAAGGAGGGCAAAATGAAAAAAAAAAAATACTACGTGTGTGAGCGTAGCATGGCGCCGGCCCCCCTGTCGCCCTCTCCCAGAAAAAAATAGCGATCAGATTATACAGGAGTCCTCGATTTACGTCTTTTCGATATAGCGTCGCTAACATATACCCCATATACGTTGCGTCGTTCCGATATAACGTCGTAAATCAAGGATTTCCTGTATATCATTTAGTCCATGGGAAAATAGGTGTCGTTTTACGTCGTGTTTTCCCGGGAACGCATCCACAACGTAAATCGTGGACTTATTGTATTTCAGCCTGATTGTAGGAACTGGTGGAGGAAAATAGCCGTTAAAAACCGTGAAATCATTTCATCTCCTTTTATGCTGTGTATTGGCGAGTGGTGTCGTTAAGCGCTCATATCAGCAATAGATAACCATGACGGACGCAGACAGACAGGCTGGAAATATCTAAAAGTGGTCGCTATCGTTTTCAGGAGACTTATTGATTAGTATCACAAGGCTTCCAAGTAGGCCTGTTTGAATTCGTATGCGATTTCATGTTACGTTCGCAATCTATGGAGTTTTGACCATGATCAGCTCCGGCTCCGGCACCGGTCGATGGGTATGAGTTAAAAATGCGCCCTCAGTCTACCGGTCAAATGTGGCCATCGGCACAGTCCTAACATGAATATAAAGATGATAAAATTATTGAAAATCGGTGGTTCCGAATGGAACCTCTGGGCACGAAAGCATTGAAATCAGACTATAGTGATTTTTTAACCGAGGTTTTGGGATCCATCTAGGCCTGGGTTCTTCGAGCTAACACAAGCGATGTCTATTTTCGCAGAAAGTACAGAGTAGGCTATGGTAGTGGCATTAGGCCGAGTTAAGTAGGTGACGCTTCTCATCTCTCTCTTGGGTGACTGGGTAATGAGCTTGTGTCCCGTGACAGGGTGGCCTGGGCTCGAACCTAGCCGAGTCAAGTGTATATTTCCTAGTTGAAGCGCCAGCGTGCTCGGGAAGGGAGTACCCGAGCTCCCATCTCTAGGTGTGCACTGTAAAAAAAAAAATACCGTAAATTTACAACCAAGAGGTTGGAAACATTGCTGCTGGCTTGTGATCGTAAAATGACATTTACGATGCCATGGTGGAAAAGGATAATTCCGCTTATTGGTTAACAGTAAGATTTACGCGAAGAGCAAGAAACTGGTGAGTCCGGGAAGAGAGGGAATGTGAGTTTACAGGTTCTAAGGGTAAAGAAGATAATCACATAAATAAGGAAATTTTCCGGTTAAAACTCGGAATCTCCTCTTACAGTTCCAAGGGGGAAATCCGCCAGGTACGCTAGAGTGTGATTCCTCTTATTAGGGGAAAACCGGTTTTACATGAAAGAGGGGAAATACCTCATTCCTGCCAGACTCGGAAAAATACCGGCTAATCTTGGAAGGGAATAAATTTTATTCTTTCGATTCGTCCGTCCTCTGAGTATACCTACTTCACTAAGGGAAATAATTGAAAACAAGACGTAGGCCTATGTACTGAGAAAAATGATTGGACTCACGATAAATTAATGAAGTCGCTATATGTGCACTTGGGAGATGGATGAAGCCACTAGCACGGTATACGGGTCGAGTCAGTACCACGGCTGGGGCGAGATGAGGTCAGGGGACATCACGACAGGGGATGGCGTTTATAGCTTTCTTTTTCTCGCCACTTTCATTGTCCCCCTTCTCCTTCTCCCCCTCTCCCCGCCCCTTAACATTGTCTCTTAGTGTCTGCTTGAAGTGTAAGATGGATACTTTTGCTGTCAGTTAGACATAAACCCTTCGATATTTTTTATGTTTCTTTGTATTTCACATAATTTCATAAAAGACTTCCTTAGTATTGGAGTGAAGGTGCCTGAATGTACCATTCGTACCGTCGTAGTTGCAAAATATGATTCGTTAAAAGTGTCTTTACGGCATGAATGGCTAAGGAGAAAATATCCTTAGTTGCATGGGCGAGAAATCGAGAAGAGGAGATTCAATTTTGTTTGATTTGGAGGCCATTCGTTGATAACGGATTCTGTTCCCTGCATGTGAAATCGTGAGAATTGCAGAGACAGAGCTCTGACAAAAAAAAAAGCAAATTCTTGATATTTCCATTTCTCTCCCTCCATATGGAGGGAGAGAAATGGAAATTTCTCCCTCCTCCTCCCTCCCACAAGTATGTCAATATTGAAACAAGGTTGAAGAAGAATGAATTTCCTCTATCTTAGACTCCAAATCTCGACATTTATATAGACATTTAAAAAAATAATGACAGCTTGAGCCAGGTCGACAGGCGGAGGGGGAGGGGAGGGGGGAGCGGGTACGAAGCCGAGGAAAGTGAAGGAAGATAAGGGTGCCAGTGAGCAATATTTCCCCCCCTTTTTTCTGTCCATTTAAACGGAAAATTTCCACTAAGGAGGGGAATCGTTGCTTTTACCGTGTGAGTGAAAAGGACAAGTTCCCTATCAGACGAAAAACCAGTTTTCCGAACATCAAGAGTAAAATTCCATCCGAAATTTCCGAGTATTCAGTGGACTAGACAGATTTCCCTCCTTACCTGTAATTTTCATCTGGAAGTGCGAAAACGCTTCGTCAGGGAAAAATATTCCGATAACAAATGCAATTCTTGCATTTCATCTGTTAACCGGAAAATATTCCGCCTAACTAGCGGAAATTTACATTTTTTTTTACAGTGTGGGACGTTGAGGAACCGCGGCAGTGAAGGTCGAATCCCAATCCAAAGGGGAAAAAATGCCTACATTTTCGGCAGCCTAATATTTCTTTTTTTTTTAAATGAAAACATGTCATTTTTGGCATTTTCAGCCTTCCATAGTGCTTTCACTTTAGTTGGACATTTTTTCGCTTGACTTCGACACTCATGCATGAGGAACGTCCAATGAACGTTTGTAAGCGTCGAGTGAAATGTTTTCTAATGGGAAAAAGGAGAGAATATTCATCATTCGCTTTACATACTTAGCGTTTGGCATGCTTCAGGTGTAATTTCAATATCGGTTATCGGCAGGTCATATATCGTTTTAGGCTGATATATCGGATTCACCCAATATTGGCCGGTCATATATCGTCTTAGGCTGATAAATCGGATTCACTCTATATCGGCCGGTCATATATCGTTTTAGGCTGATAAATCGGATTCACTCAATATCGGCCGGTCATATATCGTTTTAGGCTGATAAATCGGATTCAGTCAATATCGGCAGATACCGATAAGCCGATAAAATATCGTCGCATCTCTTATATGCACCCATGCAAAAATTAAACCCAATGCATGCAAGTCGCCTTTGCTTGAATCTCAAAGAAGCCCATACTATGCATGTTCATCTTGGAGGTTAAAGTGATGACTAAATGAGGGCATTTGTGGGATCACAGGTGTTAGGATTTGCCTGAAGAGTTGAATTTTCTCTCTCTCAAGGTGGCAAGCCAAAATCGTTCACTGCTGTCATGTCCCATTGCTTGAAACTCATGGACAAGATGTCAGAAGATCTAGAAAAACTCACGAAGCCGCCGGCGCCGAGTTCGGCAGTATTGCCGAGTGTACAGCCTAGCTACTTTTATAAGGCTGAGTTGTCTGGATTTCGTAATTTGATGACCCAGAACTGCCCCGGCGATGCAACTCCCCTGGTGAACAAAGGCAGTCCAAAGCAGTCAGTTCAGTCACCTCAGTCGTTAAGTCAGCCGGTTCAGTCCCCTCAAAAGCAAGCCCCCACTTTGGAATCTTTGCCTCTTGCAACCCTTCTGCAGCGTTTCCTGCTCCAGCAGTTTCATCACTGGGTTCAGAAGGTGAGTTCTTGATTTCCTCCCATGATTTTAGAACAATACTCACATTTGTAACCATGCTGCCCCATGTTGCTCACTCATCCAACCTAAATGTTAAAAGTCTGTCTCTCTCTTTGCAGTTGACGAGTCATATGATGTCGAATTCACTGTTCCGGTATCTCTTTGGAGAGACTCCCGATGGTGTAAATCTGGAACCTTATGTTCATGCCAAACGACTCATTTGGACTACCAAAGGTGTCCCACCCATCCTTTCTCTTGGCTTGCCAATTTTCTTATTTCTTATTTTTGCTTTCATAAAAATAGACTCCCTTCATTTTGCAAGAGAGTAAAAGCCTGTTTTCCTGTTTATGCACACAGGTCTCTCCTTCTTGGTGTCGGCTTCTTACGCCGAGGATGTCCACGGAGTGGTCCAGTTCCAACTTGCAAAGATCCTCATGGCATATCTCAGACTCTATAGGGTAAAGCTTCTCCGCATTCATCCGCATCTTTCTGTCCCAATTTTCACAATTGCGACGATGGATATATCCTTTTTTTTCTCCAACATGTCAGGCATCAGAGGGCCATCATGTGCCGATGAGTTCCAAGTCCCAGCAGCGGATGCATCTGGTCTCCCTCAGGGATGCGCTCAGGCTCACCGTCAAGGAGGCTCTGTATCGCATCACGTCCAAGTTCGGGCAGTGCCTTCAGTGAGTTCTCGAAATTCCCGTTTTTGGCCCTCTGTCTCTGAAATCACAGCTGCATTGGTTGTTGCCGTTTTAGAGCCGTGAACATGTGTCCCGAGGACCAAGCTCTGCTCTCGGAATTCATTGCTTTCCAAGAATGAAGAAATTCCAGAAGCAAGAAGGGGAATCGACCGAACACGACCGATCTGTGATTGCCTGTTTCCACGTGTGCACCACTGTTCAGTGTAGGAATGTTTGTGTGCATGAATGTAAAATTAATGTGAATGTGACAACATGATTCTTCTCCAGTCCTTGAGTTCTCTGTTGAATTTTCTTCTGTCTACTGCAAGTCAACAAGTTGTCCGATGATAATTATATTATTTAAAAACTGAAAGTTTGAGAAGCGTCAACTTAACATGAGTTTTCTGCATTAAAACGAGAGATACATTAGGTTGCAAAGTCATATGCTATATTCACAACTCCCAGGAGTAATATGTGACCTGCAATGTAAAAAGAAATGTCGATAAGAAAGGATATTAGTGTGCCATGCCCAAAGAACTCAAACCTGGACAAACCCAGACAAATCTGAATTTGCCAAAGTTGCAAGACGTTGAGCTGAAACAGGTGAAGCATCGCCACTGCCACAAAAAGTAGCCCTGATGATGCCCATCCCCCCCTAGATTTGTTTTTCGGACCACAAAAGAAGTGAATCCCCAAGGCAATTCAGCAAGTCTTATGCTGTCTGATCTCGATCAGCATTCCATGCAGATACTTCCGCTCTTGACTTTTTTCGTGCATAATAATGCCGAACCTCAGGTGAAGTGCCACTACAGACGCCCATTCCCCTCCCCCTGGACCCCCTTTCACCACAACAGCCTTGTCAGACGCTAAACCATCCGTGACGTCCGTGCTGCCATCTCCAGGCAGAGCCTGAAATCAATTCCTTTCCTTAAAGCCGATTTGCAATCCCTCCAGGAAACAGTCGCAGCCTGTAAAGCAGAACAGTTCATTGGAACGAATCGAATCACCCTCATTCAAGATTTTCATCCCTAGATGTCCTTAACATGAATCTTGAAAAATGATGAACGTTAATCGTAGAGTAGTGCCAGTTTCCCAAAGCCACGCTAGATGGCAGCATGCATTATTTCGGCTCCGAGATCCACCTTCGCGAGGCCAAGGGCATGTCCACTTGGACCAGAAAGGAATGAAATAAATCAAGTGGAAAAGTGGAGTCGATGCTTGAACCCAAAACCCAACAAAGTAAGAATCGCGTGGGATCGCGCCACAAAGAGCCTTGAGCCAATTTTCAAGAATTGATCGCGATGACCAGACGATACTCCATATCGTCTGATCATCGCGATTACCATTCGAACACCGTTACGTAAATCGCCTTCTCGGAAAAGAAAAGCTGCACCTTCATCTCCAAAGAACTCGGCGACGGAGAAGGCCCCCGCCCCGCCCCGCCCCGCCCTTCCCCCGTCCCCGCCCGAGACCCCAATCGCGAGATCTCTCACGGCCCGCCATCCATCCGCGTGTCACCCGCGTTGACATTCCCCCTTCTTAAACAATCCCTCGCTCCGAGGACAATCACGAAGGGGGAATCCGCGAGCAAACACGGGCTAGGACGTTCTTGCGTCGCGCTCGCATCGATGTTTACCCGCGTGGGAAGAAAGAGCCTTTCTTTTAAATTAAAAATATGGGGGAAAAAACCTCAAAACAAACGTCAGACCTTTAAGACCCGACCGTCTCGAAATGGCCTTGGCCACCCACGCCGTCGAATACAACGTCGAGGCGGGAGAACGAGAGAGCGAGAACCTCCCGCCGCCCCTGCCAGCCTCGAACTGACCGAGCGCGAGAAGCGGCGACGAGGTCCGATCTCGCGACGTCACGGACGGCGCCACGGCTCGGATCTGCAGATGTCGCTCGTGAGGGGCGGAGGGAGAGGAAACCTCCAGGAACCGCCGAGTCTTCCTCGGACCTCGGTCGGATTCAGACGTCGCGAGATCTTCGATCCAAGCTGGCTTTTCATCAGACGCGGCCAAATTTTTTTCCCCTCTGGTTTTTTCGACGGTCAAGACGGCGCAGTCGCCGAATCGCGGCGACGTTGATGCGTCGCGCGGTGGCACCGATTCTCAGGCCGGTTCGTATTTCTCGGGATTTTTGCTGGGAAAATGGCATGGATGTTTCGACGCACGAGGCGAATTTCCGGCTTTCACGTTCTGGAAACGGCAACAAAATATATATATATATATTTTTTTTTTTTGCTCTTTGGTGGCGCTGGTTTAGCATCGCGTAATTGGTAATCGGTAATTCCAGTGCCACCTGACTCCCTCGTATGCCATAAGACCCAATCGTAGATTTCGCGATCTTCGCGAAATCCCGCCGCATTCTGGTGGTTATTTGCCTTTCGCCTTTCGTATTCCGGAAGGAAAATTGCTCTCTAATCCGAAGTGCTCACAGATCGCGAGGAGAGAAGCCGCGATGGAGAAACGGAATCCTCGGAGCCCGAGCCGGTCGACATGGAAAACTCAGCCTGTAAACGAGTGCAAAAAAAAAGAGGAAAAATTCATGGAAAGAGCTCGCTTCTAGTGACGATCGGGTCACCGTCTGCGATCCTCGCCTTTTGCACTGTGAAAATCGAGATAGGAACGAAATTCCAAGAAAAAGCCGAGTGCTCTCTCCGAGCTCTGGATATTGCTCGAAATTCCGCGAACCAATCACAACGATTTCCTCATGGTTCGAAGGTCTCTTAGTTCCCCTTAATTTAGAATGTACTACATAACAACTCATTCAGGAGATTCGAAAGGGCGATCGAGGAAAGATGGAAGGGATCCGCCACCTCTCCACCATTGTCTTTTTTTTTTGGAATGGTTTATTTCCGAAAAAGAAAAATTTCTCGAACGGACCAAAGCCTTCTCTCTACTTTATTCTCTGTGAATCAGGCAGAACTTGCGACTCGATCCGGCCACCCGTTGGGCGCACCTGCGTCCGTCCCCAGTGAACCCCAAGCACCGTGGCGCCTTCCCGAGAACGTGTGCTTGGAAGTCATAGGCCGCCGTGTCGCCTTTCTTCCTGTTGCAGTCCAGGCAGCACGCCACCAGATTCGATTCGTCGTCGGTGCCTCCATCGCTGTAAAGAGTATGTCGGTGCTCACCCGGACAGTCTCCACCTGCACGCAGCATCAGCGATCTCCATTCACTCACCTCTGGGGGACGATGTGGTCCATGGTCCCGTTATCCTCGGTCAGCCTCGCTTCGCAGTAGAAACACCGATACCCGCACGCTTCCATCACCCTTTCCCTTTTGCTCTTACTCACGCTTTCAACTCCCACCATCTTGATTCACTTTTCGCCGCGAATGACCCTCCACCACTCCTTCCAAGAACTTCTTCGTCCCCTATCCCAGAGGGAAGTGTTGCATTTTCGCCGTGACATCCAGAATATAAAGAGCCGAAGTGTATCTTATCATTCCAACGACTGTCATTTATTCTAATGTTTGAATCGCCCATGCAGCTGTTATATTTAGCCCTAGCTACCGGAAACGGATCTAGATTAGGGTATCGCTTTTTATCAAGTAATACTATTAGCTCCCATCACGGAATCGAGTGATTTCCGACAGGAATAATCCGAAGAAGACCTCGGAGACATGCTCAATTTGTGAGACTCAGTCGTGAGCGATTGGTGAGGTCTTTTAGAATTGGAATGTATTGGGAGGAAATTTTTTTCCTTCTTTTCGGTAATGCATTGCAGTCTTAGCAGGAGGTGAGAAAAAGGTAAGATGCCAAAAGATTTCATCTCCATGAATCTCAGGGTCTAAAACTCCTCTCTCAGAATGTCACGTTCTTTGCCAAGTACCCAAAAGAATTATTTCGGATTCATTTTTGCTCATGATGATGTACATGACGTCGGCTGCAATTTTACGTGAGAGCACGATATGACTTTCCAGCAAAGCGGATGTGGAGTCTGAGATGTTGGAACCCACTGATGCTTGAAAGGAACAACGCGAATTTGAGGATCCTTGAGCCTCCCAAGTTCGGTACAACACCCTCACATCCAGTCTCCCTCACATCCAGTCTCCCTCACATCCAGTCTCCCTCGCATCCAGTCTCCCTCGCATCTAGTCTCCCTCGCATCCAGTCTCCCTCACATCCAGTCTCCCTCACATCCAGTCTCCCTCACATCCAGTCTCCCTCACATCCAGTCTCCCTCACATCCAGTCTCTCGAAAGACGTAGAAACGACACAATTACGAACTCTTCGAATCATCCTTCAGAGGGAATTCGGATCTTATCAAAATGCACTCCACTCTCACTCAAGTGCTTTCTCTCATTATGTCGGTGGTGAAATTACATCAATTTGTTTTCTAACCATTTTAAAGTCGCTTTAATTTAACCAATCGGGAATAACATATTTTCTAGGTTCGAGGGGAGAATTAATAACAATGAGGCAATGCCCTTATTCTCGAATCGACTTATTACTTCGAGCACCCGAAGATTGCTTCTGACCTTGAAGTCAATTACAAGCCATATTAAACGAACCGGGAGATTACTCCAAAGGTTAACTGCGCAAAAAAAAGAAGGAATAACTCCAGTACCCCAGTTGCACCAGATATTGGCTCAGTGCTGGACCAATTTTGGTCAATATAGCCAATATCGGCTATATATTGGCGAAACAATGTTTTCCCAATGTAACCGTTCCATCATCGACCTAATCTCAGACCTATGCGATGATCCAATGTGCCCAAGCTGCACTTAAAAAAGTTTTGGGGAAATTGGGAAGTTCTCCTCCAAGCCACTAGATGGAGGCGTGGGTCTCGCTTTTCGCACAGTGCACAAGAGTACCCTTCCTTCTTTCCCTGGAATCGTCCATCACAGCAGTATTTAGTACCTCGCCGTATGTCTCGCCTTGTCTCATAAAAGGAATCAATAAAAGCGGTCATTTCCTAATTTATTACCCCCATATTCGAGACAGATTCATGGAGCCCGGGCCATAAACAAGCTCATATTCCTTCTAAGAACCCTTTAAAACAGAAAGGAGATTCCGTATGCGGATGGTGTTCGTGATCTCCATCCACTATTTCCTCATCCTGAGGGTAGAATGTGGGAAAGAGAGACTGGCTCTGGAGATATTCATAGAACGTCAAGGGGTGGACCTTTCCTTGTAATGTACATTAATTAGCACATTCAGGGGAACATCAACGTCTGAATTGTACTATATCTCCTGCCTGTCCGTGGTACAGACACGAGTGGGCAGGGAGTTATACTAATTACAAGCTCCATATGCAGATAGGAATGTCTTCATCATGGGAATACCA